ATCGTCGGCTCGGCCTAATATTCACGCTGCGAAGGTTATGCTGTGTATTTGGTGGGACCAGGTCGGTGTTATTTATTATGAGCTGTTGAAACCGAACGAAACCATCACTGGGGAACGATATCGACTTCAATTGATGCGATTGAGCCGAGCACTGCGCGAAAAACGGCCACAATACGAGCAGAGGCACGAAAAAGTGATTCTACAGCAGGACAACGCTCGGCCTCACGTTGCCAAACCCGTTAAAACCTACCTGGAAACGCTCAAATGGGAAGTCCTACTCCACCCGCCATATTCCCCAGATATTGCGCCGTCCGATTATTACTTGTTCCGTTCGATGGCACATGGTCTGGCTGATCAGCAGTTCCGTTCATATGAAGACATCAAAAAATGGCTTGATTCGTGGATAGCCTCAAAAGATGAACACTTTTGCCGTAACGGTATTCGAGCTCTGTCAGAAAGATGGGAAAAAGTTGTAGCTAACGATGGGCAATACTTTGAATGATTCATTTGTAACCATTTTTTCACAATAAAGTTGTATTTTCATCAAAAAACAGCGAGAACTTAGTTGCACACCTAATACATTAATAATGTGATATGAAATGTTCATTTCAATCCGCAAGTAGAGATGTTGATGCATCAAAGCGCAGAGAATATCATAGAGCCAATCGCAAGACCATAAGTGTTATATATGAGTCAGATATTAACAAGATGTTAACAACATGTACACGAAAAGTGCAGACTCACTTGGCGCAGAGTAGCCAATGGCAGATCAGCATCTCAAGCGCAATCGACGCCGCGACGTGGCAAATAGATCCAGGAGAATTTCCCCGATATCTGCACCATCCGACAAGCATCCGGATAAAAAGTTCGGCCGCAGACATAAAACAGAGTCCAGCAAAACTAAGGAGGGAGCACCCATTTAGCCACTGTCCGCATTTAACTAAATACGGAGTCGCAAATCCAACGTAGCCGTACCACGTCACCACATCTGCTCCACATGGATCCATCGGAATGCACAGTAGTATTAGGGGCATCCGATAAAAATCCGTGCCGAGAGCAAACCAGGCACTCGGACAAAGTTATTGCACAATCACCAGAATGTTTATTTCAGTACACAAAAGTCCAGGAATCGCAAAAGTCCGAACAAAGTCCTTACAGGAGGCAAGAGGGGGAACCGGCCATCTTGACGATGAGATGGCAAGACATGGCACGCGGCAGGAGTCCAGTACTTTATATATTAATTACGAGATAATTAAGTCTTTGATCACACTGCCTCCATTTATACATGATAATGAAGCCACGCCGAACACCGCAAGCACACTTTTATGGTCAGAAAGTCAGTCTGATATAGAACAATAGAGTCACTATACGGAGCGTAGCAGATACACGTCCGTTCACTGCCGCGGCCACGACGGAACCCCAAATCTATTCCCCTCCTATCGCGACCTGGCCATATGCGCCTTACAGTCTCTTACCCCCCCCTTCGTCCCTCCCACTATCCTCTTCCACTTCCTCTTCCATTTCTCCTTTCTCTCTCTCCTCCACTTCCTGCTTCCACCATCCATCTTCTCTCCTTCCTTCCGGTATCGTCCTTTCTTTCTTGTTTCCTACTGTCGGCCCTCTCTTACTCCTCCCTCCTTCCTACAATCAATTCAGTTATTAATTTGCTAGTCATTAGACTCTCCTCCACTCCTCTTCTTCTTCTCTCTTCCTACCTAAAGTCACTAGTGACTTCACTCCTACCCATCTCCACTCCTTTTCATCCACCTACATCCTCCTGTTATCTACCCTCACCTCTCTTCCTTTCTCCCTTTCAATTCTCGCCCTTTCTATCATCCTCCACCTCGTCTTCCTCTCATCCATACTTAAATCTTCATCTATTTTTATTCCCCATTTTACCCTTATCCATTCCTTCCCATTTAAAACCCTTATCTTATCCCTCTCCTCCTTCATCTCTACTATTGCTACCACTTTTTCCCCCTCTCCCTGCCTTTCTATAACCTTCTCTACCTCTGGCTTTCTCCCTAACCTATCTCTTATCGCCCTTCTTATCTTTCAAACTCTCTCCTCCCTATCCTTTCCTTCTACCCCTCTCCATATCAATCTTCTTTTTCTTCTCTCCTCCCTTCGTCTCTCATTCTTTGCTTCCCTCTCTGATTCCTCTTCCTCCTCCTTCCACCAGTTCTTCTCCTCTGAGTCATCACTCTTCTTCCTACTTTCCTCCTTCTCTCTACCTTTCCCTTCCCTCTTATCCCTTCTTCTTTCCCTTTCCCCTCCCTTCTCCGTCCTCTGTCCTCTCTCTCCCCCTTTCCCTACGTTTCTCCCATCTCTTCTCCCTCCCATCTCCTCGCTCTCTTCCGTCCACTCCTCCTCTTCTTCGCTTATCTCCCTCTTTCCCTCTTCTCTCCCTCTCTTCCGTCTCTCCTCTACCTCTTGCTTCCCTCTTCTCGCTTCTTTCGCTTCTTTCTTATCTTTCTCCCCGTCACGCTCTCTGACGTACCTCTCCTCCTCGCTTCTCTCTTCTCCCTCTCCCTCCTTTCTTCCATCTTTCGTCTCTCCTCTCCTCTTCTTCTCTCCTCCGCTTTTTCCTCTTTCCACTGGACTTCTTTGTCTCCTCCTCCCTCTGTCTCCTTCTCTCTTCCATCTCTTGCCTCCTTCCTCTCTCTTCCTGTTCTCCCCCTTTTCGTCTCCCTTCCCCAAGCCGTTGCTTCTTTCTTCTTTTCCATTCTCCTTTCTTCCTTCATCCGTCTCTCCATCTTCCACCTCTCTTCCCTTCTTTTTCTTTCCTCCTTTCTTTCCAGCACCTCTCTTATCCCTTTCAATTCTCCTACTGCCCTTGTTGCGTAGCGTCTCTCACGAGTCGGACACGATGGGCGCGTTCCAGCGCATACATGCGATGGAATCAATGATAAAAGTCGAACTTTACTCTGTCGTGCACGTGGGGGAAGGATACGGAGGGACGGTGTTGCGTCGTAGAAGGGTCGTGCGCGACGTTTCTACGACGCAATGTATGTACATACGTATATGTGCCCAACAAAGGACGAGAACGTAAGCGGCACGGAACGCACGCCGGCGACCGTCCGTCGACGCATCCGCGCAATCTTGTTTACAAAGATTAGGGGCGACGTGCGGTGCGAGTTCGAACGTGTACGGCGCCGGTGAGCTCGGGCGCGCGGCTTCGGTAATCCCCGCACCCTTTGTTTTCTCCGATGTCTGCGAGCCGCTGATCGACGATCGATAGGCGGACCTAAGGGCCCACCAATAAGATTTTGGGAAAACTTCCTGGAATCTTGGTGGGGGATCGCAGTACATATACAGGGTGATTCAGAACAACCACTTGTCCTTAAAATGTCGTATTCTAAACTTAATTCTGAAATGA